AGAAAAAAGGTTTCTTTTTTACTGGAAACTTAAAAAATAAATGAAAATTGTATTTTACGTTTAAGTTTGCTTGCTTTACGCAAATATAGATCTTGGTAGGCCTTACGATATATCAACAAACGCATATCCGCCTTGTGCGTTGTGGCTTCTGTTTGTCGTTGCTTTTGATTTTGCCATTTAGAATTAAAACACACAAAAATAGAACCTAATCCAGTGAACAGTGAATCCGAGTGCAAGAAAGGGGTTTATGATCGTTTTTGGTATTGCATGCGTTATCGGGAAAACCAATCAATCCCTAATCCTTTTCTACAGAAAATTAAGTCATTTTATTTTACACCGTGCAATCTTATATCCCACTTATTTTTGCAAATTTGGGTGATGCAAAGAAAAGAGTTAGACCATCTCCCATGGTTGCTCTACTTTTGTAAGAGTCAATTAGACATATAGCAAAGATTTGATTTATATCTAGTGTAATAGCTATGTACTAGCTATGTAATAGTATATTTAATGTATCAAATAGCAAAGGGTATAGATGAATTGACTTTTTAAACCTCCCCACGTGAGGAATGAGGAAGCGTGCGCCAAAGCGGAGTGATGTCAGCACAAGAACTGCATCTGGCACTACAAGAAACAAAGGATTTTCCGACGGGCAAAACCATCGGAAATCCGTCGGAATACACCTTATTCCGACGGCTTTCCGACGGTTTTGGTCGGTCGGTTCTCTCTCGTCGGAAATAAAAATTCCGTCGGAAATCCGTCGGAAATACTGACGGAAAAGGAATACCGAAATCCGTCAGAAATCCGTCGTAATTCCGGCAGTATTTCCGACGGATTTCCGACGATGGTGGAAACCGACGGATTTCCGACGGATACGTAAACCGACGGATTTCGACGGCTACACATACCGACGGATTTCCGACGGGTAAACATACCGACGGATTTCCGACGGGTAAACATACCGACGGATTTCCGACGGAAATAGTATTTATTAAAAAAAAAAGATT